GACGGACTTGCTTTTAAAAAGGATATTGTCCCCGCTGTAAACCTTTTAAAATCTGTAGAAACCACCCACTTGGATATTTGATTGGTATTTATTAAAGAATTTTCTAGAATACAGCTAACAGCTGTTTACAAAAGTAATTTTATTGATCTGTTAAGACAAACTGATACAAGTTATTGTGCAAACGCTTAGTTTGGAAATATTTGACAATAAGATGCGCCACAAATTTTTGACCTCACAACAGTGGCAGAAACAAAGGGTGGGTGGCTGGCGGGTGCTCTGGTATGGTTTGCTTCTTCTTTCCCATGAAACATCTATCATCCTTATCCTTATCTCTCCTCCTTTTTTGTGTTTGTTACTCTCTTGTAATACCGCTATTCTTCGCCATATATATATAACCGTCTTGTATTCCAAGTGCCGTAAAACGCTGACTAAAACAAAAATCTCTACTCAGTTTCTTACAGCCTACATTTTCCCAGATAGGCGTTGTTGAATCAGTCTGCCCCAGAGTGTCTTTATTTTCCTGTTTTAGATTGTGTATGCGTTTTACTCTTGCAACACAGTAAGGTCATATTAGTGCCAAAGGTTAAAGGTGTTACAAGAGAGTTACAAGTACAAAAAGAAGGAGAAGAGATAAGAACGACAGATGTTTGAATGGAAAGAAGGAGCAAATCACACTAGAACACCCGCTGACCGCCCACTGTCTATGTAAAATTAGAAATGAAATACTCACAAAAATATTATTAAAGACAAAATATTTTTTACTTAATACTTTTTATTGGTTCTCACTGCAGGTTGAAGAACCAGCAGTCGACTACCTCTGAGATCTATCAGGTGAATGCAAGGAAGAGTGGTTTTAAAAGACAAAAAGACATAATATATCATGTTGATTATACATAACATTAACAACAATCGCAACTCAGTATCCTATATCGGCTAGGAGCTAAAGGTATGACATCAGCAAAATATAATAATATTATAACACCGGTAAAATATAATGCCGGTCAAAATGCATTTTGATGCTGCAGCTGCTATGCTACTCACTACCCTAGACTAGAATTACAAAGTTCTATGTGCTCAGTACTTAGTTTTGAGAAATTTGGCATGAAAAATTTTTGAGTTTCACTATACGGTCAAGCCTTTCCGAATGCAGTTTTTAAATATCTTTCAAAGGACTCCGAATATTCTTAGTATTTTGATAGAGCAGATAGAACATTTGCTTCTGACTTCATGGTCTTAGTAACTCAAAATAACCAAAAATGTCGGATAAAACTTTGTAATTCTGAGGTAGTGTACTGCTGTGGAAAAAATAATTATGGTAATGTCAAAGTCAAGGAAATAGGCCCAGTGAATTGCAGAGAGCACACAAGCAAAGATGAAAGAGACTTGCAATTTCCAATGACTGAAGATTAAAAAAAAAGATAATGATGATCATCATCATCCTCTTTACCACCATCAGCGACAAAAGCAACAGCATCAGCAACAATTAAACAATACAAGAACAGGAATGTCATAATCTCGATCATCATTGTCATCATAAAGTGGACTAGCAGTTAGTAGAACAAAATACACAGAAAGCTTGTGCATATTCATAGAATAACCTCATCATCAATTCTTTTCACCCCTGTCAGGGTAAAGGCCACATACAAGCTCCTTCCATTTATCTCTGTCGTGGGCCATCCTTTCAAGCTCGTTCCAAGTGAGCTTCATCTCTCTCATGTCCCTTTCCACGCATCTCCATGTTTCCCGTGGCCTACCCCTGCCTCGTGCTCCCTGTAGGATAACCTACTGACTTGTAAAACCATCGTTACATTCCGTGCATAAAGAAATATAAAATTAATAAAGTCATAACGATTCACGCTGTCCGTGTATAATACTCAGAATCTTTAAACCAACTTTTCTTTCTCCTTTACATCGCCAAATGAAAACCGATTTGTCGGAAGCACCATATTGCCATTGTTTTGAGAAAACCGAGAAAGAAAATTTAGATTTCTTTGTAACTTGTAACAAAATTGCTCTTTAAAAATTATCTTTTCGCTTGAGCACATTATAAAAGGATTTATTGTGTAATGCAGTGTAGCATTTAATTTCACCGTATTAATGTTATGTTTATTTCCAACTATTTTTTTGTCCGATTTTGACATTTAAAAGGTAATTTTGCTTTCGAGGGTCATTTTGTGGGGGTAGGGGGTTAGGTGTTGAACATTTTTCAAGAAACCAGTTACGCTGTTAGAGAATATTATAACAGCATTGATTTATATCATTGAACAGAAGGATACATTTGTGTGTGTGTGTGTGTGTGT